TTTCACCATAAAATTTTTCAATCCTCAAATTGTTTTTAATCCAAAATTAAAAATTAAATTATTTAGGTATATTTAATGAATTTTTATGATATTTGAGGAATATCTATTTAAGCTACAATCTGAATACTAAAAATGTATTTGATTAAAAGATTGATTGATATCAAATAGTTAACTACTGAGTTAATGAAACTACCCAAAATGATTTTAACCAATAAGTTTTATAATATTAATAAATAAAAAAGGTTCGGATTTGGAAAATCAATATTAAAAATACAACAGTTTAATCTCTACGCACCTTCTAAAATTAGAAAATTATTCATTTTATATCTCATTTTCGATGAAGTCATTGTTCGGTACCAGGGAAAACAGAAAGCTTAGAAGAGTTTCTCTTTAGAAGACTTACATCTTGCTAGATGGATGAAAAGGAAAGGACATATGGAAAAAGGAAGCAATAAAGATGAAGATAAAGAAACTGAGGATAAAAGTCAAAAATAAGTGGGTAAATACGTTATTATGGGGGCATTTCTTAGGAATAACCCGAAAATCTAGGTAATTAGAGGGAGAAAAGAAAAGGGATTTTCAAAAAGGTTTTTAATAAAGGATTTCAAGAATCGCCACATTTTATTGGATTGTGCAATCAAAATTTTCTTCATGGCTTCAAGATTTATTGCCTTTTTGTTAATATCATAAATACGATTTAAGGATATGGTCCTTGAATATCTTTTAGAAAATATCATTTTAATACTTTTAACAATAATTTTAGATTTTCTTTCTGAATTTTTTTCTTTAGATAAGGATGCAAGAATGTTGATATAATTTTGCAGATATAATATAGATTTGGTGAATATTTTATACTGTCTAATTAATAAAATATCAGACAGAAATACCAATCCCTAAAAATTGTATCTTATCTCTGGAAAGCCAGCAAAAATGCAAAAATTATCTCATAAATTGACAATTAATCACTAGCTTCAGATTTTTCGTCTAAATGTTGGATTTATTGCTAGTTTGAAATAATCTTGACCTATACATTGTCCAGATTTCTCAACACAATTTTATACAATAAACATCTTCTCAGATCCTATCTAATGTATTGGCTTCAATTTATTTAAAACTTGATTGAAATTCTGAAATGTAGAATTTATGGATAAATGAAATAGTTTACAATATGTTATCTTCTTTAAAATTACATTTGATCTTCGAGACTAACCTTGTTTAAAATGATCAAGCCCCCAAGCTCTAAATATTCCACTAATAATATTAAAAAAAATAAAAATATTTTTTAAATTTGGCATGTCAAGAAAAAGAGACAATTCAGGTTCAAGGAGAGACTGTCCCTATTAGGTTCATCAACAATCAACATCACCATAATAGATCAACTATGAAGACTCCCTTGCAGCTGAATGTCTTATTAGGATTTTTATGGAAAAATGTAATATGGAGGACGCCATTTTAAAAATGGTATTCATCGGAGGATCAAGATCTAGATCTCTTGTTAAGAAGGCTTATGGCTTGCTAGAAGGAGAAAAAGGATAGGTCTAACGAAGCGATGGACTTCTGAGGCTGAGGATGAAGGAAGTGGGAATAAATACAGAGGTAAATAGAAAATTGACAAAGTACTCTATTATGGGTGCTACACTGGTTACATACCAAAGATTTGGATAAATAAATTTTGGGAGGAGAAAAGATTCCTAAAAGATTTTAAATGGTAATTTTAGGAACAACCAGTTTATCAGAATGAGCAATCAAAATTCAAAAGGAAGGGTATAATATAACTTTATCTGATATCATCTAAATAAGACTAGTGATCCATAGATGGGATAAGTTCCCTGATAGGCAACCAGAGAACCATTGAGTACCTAATAGTAAGAAAGTCTATAATTTGATCAAAGATGATTAAGATATACTTCACCATGTGCTCCTGCAAAGGAGTCAGATTGATTACTTGGAAGCTTATTACCAAGAGATCTGACATAGATTCAATTGATTACTCAGGATTGTTATTAGTATATTAGTTTAGCGAGAAGAAGGAGAAAGGTCATGATAAATGTCACTAAAAAGAGAAGCAGAGAGAGCTCAGTCGAAAGCTCATAGGTTAGAGAAATGTTTCGAGCACTAGATCAATATAAATAAAAGTAGTAATAATAGCAACAACATAAATCCAACCGATTATTGAGGTGAAGATGTTGTCCGATTAAGAGTCAGTATAGAGCTAAGAATTGTTAAGAAAACAAAGGAACTGGGAATGGTGAGGGTACCATGGAACTAGAACATGGTTAGCCCCCTATGTTACAAGATCTTCGATTATTTAGAAATCATGAAACACTCCTGTGTTATAAGCATGAACCTTGTTTTCCCAAGAGGCTGTTCATAATGATACAGATCCAACATCAATTATTATTATTATTATAAATTAAATATTTCAGATTAAAATTTAATTTGGAATAAATATTTTTGATCTGGTAGTCTTGGCGATCAAATAACCAGATAATAATTCAGATGATAAAAAAAATCTAGATTTTGAGTTGCTTCATCTACTTAAGAACTTGTCTATCTTTAGGATCCTTTCATCTATAGTTTCTTTACAAGGGCTCCCACATTAGTGAAATCTTGTAATCTTT